GGGGGGGTGAGAACACAGTTTGTGGGACTGGTGGGTGGGACCCCTTAGCTAGGCTGTGGGGCACTGAGAGGCCTCTGTGCAGAGGGTCCACCCTAGCTTGTGGCTGGGGCTCAGAGCCCGTCTTCATCCATGTGCCCAGACCCGGAACACACACTCTCACTCTCTCTCTCTCTCTCTCTCTCTCTCTCATCTAAGCTTGCCCCAAAAGTCACACCGAAGGGCCCTTTATGGGTCACTGAGTCCAACCCCTGTTAGAAGCCCAGCAGTGAAGACTCCCCCAATTGGTTGAACCCCAAGAGAAGACAGAGGTTGTGGTAGGGCTGGAGTCTGAACAGCCAGGCTTTGAATCTAGGAATGGCTGGGGTGCTGACCGGCTTTGCTTTATTGACTTTACCTCTCTGGCCTCAGGTTTCCCTCATGGGCTTAGAGGTCCGTCATTGCTGAGAGACGTGAGAGGAAGGCGATGGGGTGAGGCAGAGGAGGGGTGGTGGATCCCAAGGAGCCAAGGCTATGAGTGAGTGAATGAAAGAGAACCCCTCCCATAAAGTGCTTTGGAGGTCAGATCCTCCATTCTGCTGATCAGAACAGAGTGGCCCCTTTCCCTTCCTCTCCCAAGGTACCTGCCTCACCCAGTCCCTTTGGCCATAGGGATGAGCTGGTCTTATCTCCCTTTCCTCCTGGCTCCTCCCCTCAGTCCCAGTGGTTCAGACTCTGCTTTAGGGCCTCCTGGACCTCTGCCCCCGGAACCAGTCAGGTCCTGCCTGCCCAGCCTCACACCTCCTTTCAGGCCGGGTATCTCTGGATAGCCCCAGCTTGGCAAGAGTTAATTATCAGAGGAAGTCCTTACTCCCCCGGTAGTTTTATTTTCTTATAAACCGAGCTCCTTTTGGTAATAGTCCGCTTCCCCAGTGATCCCTCCCCTGTCCTCCCACCTGAGGAGGCCTCAATCACCTGCTGTCAGCTCATTTTTCCCCACCAGCCCCTCCTCTTCTCTCTACTTCTGCCTGACCCTCCAGGCTAGTGGGAATTTTACATGTAGGTTTGCCCAGGGGAGGAATGCAGGGGCTGGATTATCCAGGTGGAGGTGTGAAGAGAGGGCCACAGAAATTTCTGCATTCAACCTATTCCAATGTGGGAATCTTGTGTGTCCCCAAAAGGTTACCACTTATTCTCAGTTTGGATACCTCCAGGGCAGCCAGTTATACTGCAGGAGTCCTGGGTGTTAAAATACACACCCTCACCCCTCGCAATCTGCTCCTGCCTCTATTAATTCTCCAGCATGAGTCCTACCTGTGCTGAGGCCTGGGAGACAGCCCCAACCCCAGGGTTTCCCAGTTCCTCCCATTCCATCCCCTGGCCCATAAGCTCTGGTCATCAATGTTCCTCTAAAAACAGACACCCAGACCAGACCAGACCAGACTGCCACCCTCCAGGTCTGATTTCCGGGCGAGATTTCCCTGCCCTTTGGTTAGCCCCTTACCTGGTGACCGATGCCCAGGGAAACAAATTGCCCCAGAGGAAGAGCCACAGGCCGTCACTCAGGGGGCCAACGGCAATAATGAGGGAGGAAGTGGGAGTGGAGACTACCCTCTCCTTAAGGTGCACTGGGCAGTAAGGACCCCAGGAGGGTCCCAGTCAAGGTGGGAGGTGAGGTGCAGAACCCACAACCACCTTCCCTCTGGGCCCAGCGCAATCTTTCTGAGGTGTAGCCAGTGCTTTGGGTGGAGGGGAAATTGTGGAGAGGGGGCTCCTTCAGGAGTCTTAGGGCCCTGAGTGGGCTGGACCCAGGGAGGGGAATGCGGGCTCAGTGTAGGAGGGAGCTCACCCGTGAGGGGTCCACCGTGAGAAGACGTGGGGCTCAGGATGAGTGATGAGGGGGTAAACTATAGGTCTTTCTTTTTCCCCAACGTGGGGGGCTCAGCGTTGCAGCCTGGGCCCTTTTCCGCCCACCCCCCACACCCCTCTCTCCGCCCACAAGCCTCTGCGTGGGCTGCGGTTAGTGGTGGGGGAGAAGTGTGAACTCGGAGAGAGAGGATGGAAACTCTGCACAGAGGTCAAGGGCAGTGTGGGGTGGGTCAGGACGGAAGTCGGAGACCCCCGCGTACCCTGTGCTTAGCCTCATGCCCCAGAAGCGGCGGGCCCAGGGCCTCCCCCTCCCGCTTCTCACCCTCCCTACTTCCTTTCTTTCAAGTCTCCTTCAGCCTGGGCACCCAGCAGCGCGCAGGAGTTAACCCCTGAGCACTGCAGCCTTGGGTGCGTGGACAGGGCCCCTGAAGTTGAGGCCCACCACTCCCACCTCACTGTGGTCTGAGTGATTGGTGGGCCTTGAACCGGTCTCTGGCCATTTCCCTGCCAGGAAGGTGGAGAGTAGCTCTTACCACGCTTTCCCTCCATGGGAAACTCCACATCCTCCCCTCATTTTTCAACCAAGGTCACTGAGCTGGTATCTCCAAAAATAGGATCAAAATGGTTTCCCCTCCCCCACCCGTCTCCTAGGCACTTCCCTGATCCTTCATCCACGCTGGACACTATGCGAGGCAATTTACCTACAACATTTAATTCTCACAAAAGACATGTTGAAGGTCCTGTCCCCTTTTACAGCTGAGCCAACTGAGGTACAAAGAAGTTAAGTAACTGGAGAAGTTAAGTGCAAATGTCAAGCAGGTCCTGAGCAAATGGGGTGTTTTTCTGGTTCCGATTCTTCTTCAGGCTGGAGGCCCTTATCGGGGGTGAGCAGGTGATTTGTTGATTGCTGTAGAAAGTAAAAAGGGGGCACTGTTAGTAATTATGCGCAGGCAACTAGTGTGAACCAGGGCAGTCCTGCGCAAGCTGGGATGTGTGGCCCCCTCACCTAACCAGGGACTCTGCTCTCCAGCCTCTCTGTGAGCCGCTCAGTTTGGCTGCGTAGGAGAGGCCGTCCAGACGCAATGAACATCTGGCCATGCTGGAAGCATGGCAGGGCTGCCAGGAGGAGCCGGGCTCTGCAGATGGCAAGTCATAGCTGGTTGAGGACCGTAAAGGGGCTCAAGGCGCCTGAAAGGAAGTGGTGGAGCACTGGGTTGTTGCAAAGCGACTTCCTCCTCCCCCCACGACCTGCAACCTCAAGTCCGCTCCATGGCCTGGTGCCTGTGGACCCTCCCTGAGGGTCGGGTGGGAAGACTGATGCTGAGTGTGCCTGAGGGTGGTGGAAAGTTTGGTTCCTAAATTTACCCACAGGGGTGAAGTGGCTGGGGGCAACCGAGGGCTGCTATGGGCAAGGATGGAAAGGCTGGGAATGCTGGGTTTCTGTTTTCCTCCTGATTCTCAGTCAGTTGCTGATTCTGACCCCATGACCAGCTCTACCCTGACCCCATTCCTAACCCTTATATGGATCCCATCCCTAACTAACCCTATCCTTCATCCAGATCCCATCCCAAAATGAACTATCAAATCCAGCCCTCATTTGACCCTGACCCCAGCCTTAACCCTGACCTCAAATCCATCCCTAGTTCGAATCTGTGACCCAACACTGGCCTGATTTCCAACCCTGCCACGTCTTCACTGCAGGTCCAGTGCAGCACAGGGCACCCAGTTAACTTCCCTGGGGAAGACTCTGCGTTCAGAAGCCTATGTGTCTCACAGCTGGATTGGGGCAGAAAGAGGCCTTAGAGAAGGACACTTAGGTCTCTAACCTTTCCCACCTCGGTAGCTTTATCAACAACAGTGGAGGTTATTATTTCCAGATGAATTTTTGAGATCCTGAATTACTCGTGGAAAGAATGAATGAAAGGATAAGTCAATGAAGGATGGAAAGATTTGCTGCAGAGGTGCCCTTCTTCCTGCCAGCTCTGCCATTTGCACTTTGGCTCCTCTGAAGGTGCCAGCTCAGCAGGCTAAGGTGCCAAGAGGATGTTTGAATCCCTGCTCTGTGTCACCACTGCTCTGTGACCTTGGGCCAGCCTCTTACTAGCTCTGATTTTCCATTTCCACATATGTCTGGCACCTTCCTCTCTTTTCCCAGGGCAGGGGTGGTGATGCTCAGGGCCCCCAGGACACTTTGGAGGTCCCCAGCCTCTTCCATCTCATCTTTCCCTTCTGCTGCCTTCCCATCTCTCCTTTCCCTACCCTTTTGGAAGGCAGGGTATAGCTGAGCGGTCAGTAGCCTGGACTTTGGAGTCCAGGATGCCAGAGCTCTCATTCCAGCAATTTCATTACTACTAGGCTTTATGATTTTGGTCAAGGACTTAACCTCTGGAAACCTCCATTCTCTCATCTGTAAAATGGAGATAATAGTGGCAATAGTGTAGGGTTGTTGTGAAGATTAAGTGATGTTCTTAGCACAATGCCTGGCCCATGATGAGCGCTCATACAGATGATGTGATTCTTTTCTCCCTGGGTCCCTCCCAGGTTCTGAGAGACTCAAAACTTTCCCCCATCATTTAAGCAATAAAGAAGCACCGAAATGCAGCCGTCTGTTGCCGTTCCCCTGACCCATCCTTCCCGAACAGTCTCAATAGTAGAAAATAGCAGGGCCAGGAAGCCAGGAAACGGAATACTCATTCAGGTGTGTGTGTGTGACTCTTGGTTGTGTTGTGAAGTTGAGATTTTTTCCACTGAATTGGCAGTGTTTTCTGTGAGTCATTTAAGTCCTTAGCGTATTTCGAAGCCTGGGTCTGTGCACACTGAGGTCGGGAGAGACACCTAATTAAGGGGGAGGTCCCAAAGGGTGATAGAGCACCAGGAGGTTGGGTCCCACCACCTTTACAGGTCTCAGAGGTCCTTGTGAGGGCTGCCTGGGGTTCCAGCAGGACAATCCTTGCCTGCCCCAGGCACCCAGGTCAGAGCTGTGAGAAAGGCTGGACATTCTGGGCCATGGGTGCCTTCCTTCCATTTCCTACTGCTCTATTTTGTTGTGAGGAGGGTGCCAGGAGCTGGGCAATGGAAACTGGGCTAGCTCCTGACAGGGGGAGGAAAGCAAGCAGGGGAGAGATAGGGGCCTGGGAACTGAGTATGGCAGGTGAGATCTCCAAGGCAGGGTGTGAAGGCAACGACCTGTATCTGTCACCTGAGATACAGCAGTGACTGTGGATGGGGGAAGAAATTGGGAGAGAAACTGGCTGCTTGGTCAGAGGAGGATGCTCTGTATCACTACCCTGCCCAGAACCCCTCCTGTCCTCACCACTGTGGGGTGGCATGGTCCTTCAAAAACCCCCAGTCTGATGGGGGAGACACAGCTCCTGCCCTCAGATTGCCCCAGTCTGAAGGAGATAGCCTTCCATTGGGGGTCCTCAATTTAATGTGGGACACAGACTGGACCTCCAGTCTGATAGGGGAGATGGCATTTTTCCCCACAGGCCCATAAGGTGAGGGTGGGTGGACACAGGACACATTTAGCCAACACAGGAGCTGAGATGTGATGGATTGAGGGCTGTAGCACCTTAGCAAGGGTTCCTGAAAGGACCTTCCTTCCTCCTGCTGCTGTCCATCTCTGCCCACCACCAGATGGGTGGGTGAACACTCTCCCTCCCTAAGAAATAGGCTTTTCCCCCAGAATCCACCCTGTTTGCAATAATTTGGCTTTGGCCCAAATGGGTTAAAAATAGTTTTGTTGTGGGAGGGGCCATTGTCTCCCCCATCACCCAGCTCTAGTAAGAGAGCCAGTCAGTGAGTGGAGAGTGAGAGCGAGAGCTCAGTTATTATCTATCCTCTGCACCTAGGCTTTTCCTGCCCTCTGAAGCCCTAACCTCACGACTTCCCCTCCTTTCCTCTGGGGTCAGACACACACACACACACACACACATACACACACGCACACGCGCGCGCGCTTACTCTTACCCCATTCCTCACACTCATCATTCTGGCCTCACACCCACCTTCACTCTCTCCCATCCACATACATCCTCTCTCACATGGCCATTACCATGGGATGGAGGGGGGGCCCTGAGGTTCTGGAGAACTCCCCACCTCGTTCCTGCCCAGGGCCCTACAGCTCCCGGGGCTAAAGGGCCTCCCCTGTGAAGAGATCCACCTGGAGTGGCTGAGCCTCTTGCCTGCCACTTCCCTCCAGCTCCAATTTCCACGAAGTTCCAGAGTCCCTTCTGGACTTGGTGAGATGGTGGGAGGGGGGTTGCAAGAGAACCCAAACCCCTGCCTCCCAGGCTCTGTGCAAGCCCAGAACAGAGGGCAGTGACCAAGGCCATGGCAGAGCCTCATGAGAGGTCAGGGTCTCTCTAGGGGTGAGCAGGCCAGGGTGGGAGAGAAGGGAGGGGCAATGCTGAGAGTGATAACTTTCGGAGGTTCTGGGTAAAAGTGACCTAAAGAGAAAGGAGAAACAGAAGTAGGTGACGTCTTTGCCAAGCTCATAGTCTGTTCCAGTTTTGTGAGGGTGGGTGCCCAGGAGATCTGAGCAGGAAGTGAAGGAAGCAAGAATAATGAATGGAGAGGCTCAATTTGTTATTCATTTACTAAACATCTACTAGGTACCAGGCCCTGGATGAGATGCTAAAACTATAAATACAGTGATGTAATCTCTACTTTTGAGGAACTCCCAATGAAGTTCCAGAACAAGGCAACTTTTTATAAGTGTTCAGTGTGAGTGGTGGCCCCTGAGGTGTGTGGTGCACAGCAGCTGTTCACAGAGATCTCTGTGTAGAGGGCTCCCTGGAGCTCCTGGGAGGTATAAGGCTAAAAGGAGCTCAGAGGCAGCTTTGAGATGGAAGCAAGGGCATTGGACCTGGAACTGGGCAGACTTGGGTTCAAGTTTATCAGTTGGCACCTCTGCCAAGCCAGGAGGCCATGTCTTCACTTATGGAATGGGGCTCTTCAGAGAATGTGCAATAGCAGTCTGCAACCTGTCAAAGATTGAGGGCTCTTCATGGACCCCCTGCCCCCAACACACGGATGGCGCTTCCACTTTTAGTATGTGCTCTTTGAGAAAATTCACAGTGACAAAAGCTACTATAAATTCAGTGCAGCTTTTTGATGAATCTGTGTTTTATTCGTCACCACAGGTTTTGCATAGATTGGAAAAACATTCACACATACCTGTGTGAGCTTTGTTCAGGCTGCAGATAGTGCTCGGTGACACATGGATTCAGGGACCCCCCCCCACCCCCCCCACACACACCCCGGGAATCACTGAGTTCCCCAGCCCCAGTCCATAGCCTGGGAACCACTGCCCTAGCCCCAGGTAACATTCACTAGGAGGAGAGGGAGGCTCCCTGGAAGAAGTGGCATTTAAGTTGATGTTGGAGGGCCCTGGAGGGCCAGATGCTGGGGCAGAACCAGTTCTTACTCCACTGTGAACCCACTTCCCTTCTCTTCCCTACTCCTTGCCCTGTGACCTCAGGGTCAGGGAAGGCTGGGGTCAGACCATGACCTGGGGGGACTGGGGTGTCTTTCAGGGTGAATTTGGCGCTGGCTTACACGGAGCTGACAGAGGAACTGGGCCGGCTCCGGGAGCTGAGTTCTCTGCAGGGGAGGATCTTGAGGACCCTGCTGCAGGAGCAGGCCAGGAGTGGCGGTGAGATGGGGCAGGGCAGGGGAGGCCAGGGCTGGGCCCCAGGCTGGGGGAGCTATGGCTACCGTCCTGTGTCCTGGGGCCACCCTCGGCTTCCTTTCCCTATGCCTGAGCCTTTTTCACTGGTGTTGGGAGGAGAGTGGTAGGGCTTGGGTCACAAGCAAGCCCTGGCTCCCAGTTCTGACATCTTCTCTCCCCACTGTCCCCTCACCTGGTCTCACTTCTCTTCCAGGCCAGAGGCACTCGCCTCTGTCGCAGCGTCACTCCCCGGCCCCCCAGTGCCCCTCACCATCCCCGCCTTCCCGAGCGGCGCCCCCGTGCCC